ACGTTTCTACACCACCACATTCCACCTCAACATCGACTCAGATCTTGACGTTCCACTTGGGATCGAGCTTGGAGCTCCAGCCGGCACGGTGGCTCGAATCATGATCTGGGTCAACGGATATCAATATGGGAAGTATGTTCCTCATATTGGGCCTCAAACCAGGTTCCCAGTACCACCTGGAGTTATCAACAACAGAGGCTTGAACACGGTTGCGTTGAGTCTTTGGGCGATGACGGATGCGGGTGCGAAGCTGGATACCGTCAAGTTGATCTCTTATGGTGCGTACCAGACAGATTTCGATTTCAATAAGGATTGGAGCTCTCTGCAGCCGGGATATGATGCTGGTCGTTTGCAATATGCGTAGATTTTTGGCAAGATAGAAACCGCACAAGGAGCAACTGAAGTAGATAATGTTTGGTAGAAATACCTTGCATGGATGAGCTAGTCAGCGATACATCAATATCATATCTTGTGCTGCAGAATCGAGGTTTCATTGTGATGCTATGGACGAAGTCTATTCTCAATATTCCTCGATATCTATTGGATTCCTTCCATTCATTCCCACCCTTAACTCCAGAAACTCCGCAGCTAAACCCGCCCTGCATTCCCCAGTATCTCAGAAGCAGAAACCCCTATTGGGATGGATGGTGCTTAGCATTGTGCTTTACTAGATCCTTCTTCTCCTGCCAGGTTATATCACAAGCGTCGCACTTGTAAAGACGCAACTTCCGATGAACATTATCGACATGGCGCTTCAGCGAGTAGGTTTGATCGAAGGTATTATCGCAGTGGGGACACTTCAAAGAAAGCTCCTTGTGGTGCTTTTCCTTCTGGTGGCGGGTCCAACCACTCTTGTTGCGGATGTGCTTCTTATGCTCGGCGCAATAGAATTTGTAGCCTGGCTTGGGAAGTGGTACACCATAACCGCGACTGACCACGAATGCAAAGAGAGGAGGGTTGGAGGTGCGGACGGAGATTTCATCATTGGCGCGGGCGGATGGGCTGCTGTTTTGATAACTGCTGATGATAGTAGCAGAGGGAGGAATTGGTCGGCTACTGTATCAAATGTTAGGATTTTCATTTCTCAAATGTTTAAGAGAGACTAGAAAGCTATAAATTAATGTACTAACCTTGGTAGAGGCGTCCTAGTAGCAGGCGTGGCGGAGGAACGAACTGGCTGACCCCTGTACGCAAATGTTAGTACTTTTAGCCGTCGAATGTTCAAGAAAAGCCAGCGGGGTGTGAGTAGTTGTACCTGGAGAGCAGGATGAGAGCAACAGCTGCTTCATATGAGGGCGATTGGCTTCTACACGAAATATCAGTATTCCTACGCTTAAAATGCTGGGAACGAGGCCAGAAATTGCGTGGAAGAGGTGTGCTAACCTTGTCATCGCTGTGCGAGCAGACTCCATAGCAGAGAAATCTTCTTGCGAGTGAGTAGATGCTATGTTGTACGGATTGCGGTGCTGGTGCAGCCAACTGTTGTAGCGCGTTGAGATGTTGATGCTGGAAAGAGGAGAGGTGCGGGTGCCATGGTGATGAAATTTATATCTTCCTCTCCAGTAAAGAAACGAGCGGAGTGATGGCAAATTTGCTAGCGCGTGCCCTCGATACTGCTGTCTAGGGGATGTTACCGCTTATAATTGTCTCCTTTGATGTCAATTTTGCGTGGGTTGAGTTGGGATATGATGGGAATAATCATTTGAATCTTACAGACTTCAAATTGGAGGCCAGTACGGCATTTTCCTGCTATTTGCGATGTAGGAGAGCAGTCAATATAACACATAGACACTGTAGATAGACGCATAAGCTCAGTTTGGATATGATGAAGCCCATGAGCAGCTCTTGAACTTGATACAAATGGCCAATTGATACTTTTTTCTGTGATAGAGTACGTGCAATGTCAATGAGAGCAATTTAGCAGCAATTGTAGCTTATGCATCATGTTGATTCCAATTCCTGCTCTCAACAAGAAGTAGAATGGGCATTTCCTTCAATGGATAGTCGTTCTGGAAGACACGACGCCTTCGAGGGAGACTGGAGGCATATAACATCATGTATTACGTATGGTAGCTACGCCATTTCGGTTCTAATTCCAATCCCAGTCATGTATTATTCTTGTGCTTATTGAGGGCCAAAGTCTTTCTAATCCTTGTGCTTGCTCTTGTCATAGGTAGCTTGGACTCTGTCGTTCGAGACCCCAGATATCTCGCGAGCCCAAGCCCGAGCCCGCGCACACTCTCTCTCCCCGTTATAGGTGTCGTTGGTAATCTGCTAATATTCTTCCAGTAATTGTAGCACTCGTGAGCGAGATCGAGGAGGAGGTCGTAGCAATATGCTGGCTGACGAGGCACCAGGTGTGGCAGTGAGGGATCAGGATTGGCCCCAATCGAGGGATTGACAGCAGCGGAGAACTTGAGAGATCTGGGTATGAATGAAGAAGCATTGGGGAGAAGCATTGAGGGCTGCGAGAGGCGAGGAGAACGGGGGTGGAGCTCAACAGAAGAAGCTTCTGGAAGCTGGTCGAGGGGAGGCGTCGCAGGTAATGTAATGTCGAGATTCTGCCGTCGTGTAATGATTTGGAGAGTCTGCATATATTATTGCATACAGTCTACTTGAAAGAATGTTAAGATATGGCGATTGAAAGGTAGTGAGCGGGTGCGTGGTGTGTACTGTCACTTGCCAAAACCTGGCCCGACAATTCACAGAGCGCAAGGCTGGAACTGCAATTCGATTCCCTGAGTTAAGAACAATTTCGAGTTTCAAATTTTTGGTCATGGGCTGCTCGAAAGTACAAATTTTTCAAATTTAAGAGATAGAGTATCTTACAGGAGTTCACATGCGGTCGCGTAGCTTGACAACACTTAGTCGGCCGCTCAAAACAAACTCGCGTATTTCGAAGTTCTAATTGGACGAATTGTTTTTGATAAACCAGTGCTTAGGAAACTTTGCTATTGGCAGCAAAACTGACGATAAGTTCATAGAAAGTATTAAGTATAGAACAATGAATCTCGGTGTTTGATTGTCGTTCATTTGGACATCGAATAACACATACGGGACATTGCTTAAATGGGAGTCTGGCAGACTCTCACGACGAAGAGTGACATAGATGAACTAGTTATTGAAATCGTTTCACTAAAGAGAGGGGAGTGAATTTACCGCCTCGGTGGCTTTCTTTCCTGGATTTGTTCTACAGTGAAAGCTATAGAGCGCGTTTGTTATCTTCCAAGGTACAAAACGACACCAGGACCATGAATCTTACGAACGAAGGAAAATTTGTATCTGCGACAAGACTTAAAGAAATATCTAGGAAGACATGGCGCTTGCTCAACGTTGATAGATTTCTTATAGCACTCCACTTATCAAGCAAATACTTCCACTGCAAACCTTTCAACCGCTTTTTGCAGGATCGTTACATACACTCAGAGAATGCAGCGACGAACATCTACTGCCTTTTCAACCCGATAATTTAATTCTGCTTTGTCTCGCCAGTAATTGCGCTCACTGCCCACAACGCTCCACTATCCTGATTTATCTAAGGCCAATTTTCAGTCTTGACTTGCCAGACAAAAGAAGACTTGTAGGGATTTATTACACGGAAACATCCAGAAATGGGAAACTCACTCCCGCTGCCCCACTAGAATCCAATAGAGTTTTCTCAACCAAGAACTACAAGTTGTAACTAGGTACACTCTACTCAGCTAGCTGCTGGTAGTGCCATTTCGATGAACGCGACTTGAGGGCGGGCGAATAGATCAACAGAGGGCACAATGATCTGTCATGCTAGCCATCTCGACGACCGAGTCAGAAGCGGTGACATTGTGATCCAAGACAGAGACATTAGCTGCGTCCTTGGTAGTTGTTGCGGGAAGTGGGTTGCAGTGCGCTTGAAGAGACAACATGAGGAGAAGGGAGCTTGATGAGTTGGGGTCGCATGTTGCCGTCGATGAACAAAATAATATTGTCGGGGAAGTGGGAGAAGGGTTGGTCTGTTGAGGGATGGTCTCTGAGAGGAGGGTATCAGAGTAATTTATATAATTTTAAATAGAACCTCCACCTTCTCCATCCGGTGCGATATGCTTGAGGCTTATCTATGAGCCAGTACACATTAGGCGGGAGGGTAAGACGGTATATACAGCCTGTACCTTTGCCTGTATGAATAATAAGCAGTCATTTAGGATATCTAAGACTAGCCATCTGAATCGAGAGCTTCAGGACAGAATAGACGCTTGTTTTTGTAATAGCTCATTATTCTTGGGAGATCTATCTACCTCTGATGCTCTTGTACCTATTTATTGCGTTGCACAACTGCCAATGCGATGACAATATAACTAATCATTCTTACCCAGCGTTAGATTGATCAAGAGAAAGCTAGGCTAACGTCGCGAGTGTTGAGATTTCCTTGCCCAGATATCTCATCGATACTGAGGAGTAGCGCCCAAAGCAAGAAGATTATGTAGGATGCATGGGATAGGCAGCTGCGCCAGTCTAAGGAGGCACCGGTAGCTGATTATCAGGCACCGTTTGATCAACGGTTTTCAACTAAAACTCATGGTGTATCCAGAGCGATATCGTGACCAAGAAAATAATATAGAAAGGAACTATGCTGAACTCTGTAAGAAGTGGCATAGCTCGGCTCTAAGTTAGTGGCTCTCGCTTACTTTGTTTACACTTCCGCAAAACCAGAATCACGACATAAGGAAACTTCACAACAAACTAGAAAGGAGGAAAGGCTGTCAATTAATTAACCAGAACATTACTAAATGAACACAACATGCAGTTCCACCCCATCAAGCACCCTTCATCCACTCCTCCCAAAACAGCGGTGATCCCGCCTCGCTTACATCCAGCATAAAATTTTCCCTTCAAAATTTTCACGCCCCCTCCCCACACCCACTTCCTCTGCCCCTCCAACCCAAAACGCCGAAATCACACCCCCCATAGATAACCCAATAACGCACTCTCTTCCATCGAACAGCAATACCAAAGCAGTTCAAATTGCCCGGGTAGCTCAATCGGTAGAGCGTGTGGCTCTTATAATCAGGATATGCCTTCACAGGTGTTCCTGTCACTAGAAAACAAAACCTCAAGGTCGTGGGTTCGAGCCCCACCTCGGGCTCAATTCCCGAGGTTCTTCTGATTGGAGAGCTTCTTATATTTTTCTTTTTGGTATTGCTTTTTTAGAGGTTCTGAGAGGAGGGGTGTGGCGAGGCGGGAACGGCTTGGGAGGATAAGGCTGTATAGTCGTGCTTCAGATGTAGGTGATTTATCTATTCTTTTCAAGAAAGTCTATCCCGAAGTCTGGGAGTTTGGCCGTAGAAGCGAGAACATTATTGGCGGGGCATATTGTAGCTCTCGAATAGAGAATAACTTCACTTCACTACGGTACAGAACATAATTAGACTTACCTAAATTTTTGTACTGAGAATTGAATGCAACTTATCGGAAGGTTAAAGTGGCAATTTCGGGAATATCGCCACAGACGAAGAAGAGTTGAGGGAGAAACCCCCAAGCAATCAGCAAGTTCATAGCAAGTGAATCTTATCTGATACAAGAAAATCAGCCAGGTTGCCAAAGTTTGTTCCGCCGAGGAATTCGGGAATGGACTTTTCACATGACATTGCCCTGACGGGGTCAGCATGTCTGCTCAGTTCAAATGAAGAGAGCACATGGTATTTGGCGAGACAAAGGGCATTAAAGTTGATACTAAGGAAGACCTACTCTTCAATGACTGCATCCCGCCATCCTGAATTCTAACAGGCACGCACATGTGTAGAGGGAAGCAACGAAGGCTGAAGTTAAAGTCGAGGCAATCATTGTCTGTGATGCATTATGATCTCTCTAGAATACACGTTCCACGAAGAGAAGCAAGCGCTCTATCATCCCTTCTTTCCGTCCACCACAAGCTCCTTTACAAGTACAATCCCTCGGGCTCGCCCTCTGTCTTCGTCTTCAAGACACGCTCCCTCGCAGCTCTGAAATCCGCCATCTGAACACGCATTCTGCGCTCTCTCAATGCCATCAAACCAGCCTCTGAACAGATAGCCTTGATGTCCGCACCAGAAAGGTCGTCCTTTTGGTTGATGAACTCCTCCAAATCAACGTCCTCATTCAAAGACATCTTGGATGTGTGTAGAGTGAAGATCTTGCGCTTGGTGACTTGATCGGGGTTCTCGAAGAGGATCTTTCGGTCAATACGTCCGGGACGGATAAGAGCAGGGTCGAGGGTGTCAATCTTGTTCGTTGCCATAATGACCTTGACGTCTCCTCGATCATCAAAACCATCCAGTTGATTCAGAAGCTCCAGCATAGTTCTCTGCACCTCCTTCTCTCCTCCAGAAGTAGACTCATATCGCTTGGTACCAATTGCGTCGATTTCGTCAATGAACACAATTGAAGGGGCGTTTTCGGCAGCAACCTAGATATGGTTAGTCGAGGAAAGTAGGAGATGAGTCTGTAGATGCCTACCTGGAAAAGTTGTCTGACAAGCCGGGGCCCATCACCCAAGTACTTCTGAATCAACTCACTACCCACAATGCGCAAGAAAGTCGCACTTGTTTGGTTTGCAACAGCCTTTGCGAGAAGAGTCTTTCCTGTACCTGGCGCACCGTAAAGAATAACACCCTTTGGAGGCTTGATACCCATCTCCTCGTACAACTCAGGATGCAGCAGAGGTAATTCGACAGACTCCCGAACTTCTTGAATCTGAGACTCCAAACCACCGATATCCGCATAGGACTCCGTTGGGGCCTTATCCAGCTTCATGACCGTAACCAGAGGATCCGCATCATCCGTGAGAACACCAACGATGGAAACGGACTTGTGGTGAAGGAGAACACTCGCACCGGGTTCCAACAGATCCTTATCGACGAATGACATGATGGAGACGTAGTATTCGGGGCCGGTTGTGCTGGAGACAATGGCATGGTCATCATCAATCATCTCCTCCAAAGTTCCAACACCCATCGGGCTACCTCTCATATCATCAACTCGTCCACGCTCGTCGGCATTTCTGTCAAGAGCCTCGGGATCACTGGCAGCTGCAACAGGGGCGCCCCCTTCCTTCGCAGCCTTTGCCTTTCGTAACCGTTCTTGATTCTCAACGTATTCTTCTTCCAGCAGCAGATGGTCGTGAATTCGTTGCATTCGAAGGTATCTCAGTTTGCATCGGGAGGTAGGGTAGACGGCGGGGAGTTTGGCAGAAGCATTTGGACCAGCAGCCTTACGCTTCTTGCGGCCGATTCTGGTTGTTGGACGTGGTGGTGGCTCGTACTTGGGCTTGTCCTTCTACAATGAACGGTTAGCATCATGATCAGCATCCATCCCATGATGCACAACAATCTCGTACCTTCTTGTCCTTCTCGTCTTTGTTGTCTCCGCCTTGACCAGCTCCTCCGAGCCCGGACTGTTGGTTTCCCTGTGATTCTGTCAATAGTGATCTTCAACCAGTGTCAACAAGAGCTTACCATCGTGCCTGCAGCGGTTTCCAAGCGCTGTTATGACAGGAAGTGAGGGTTTGGATTATCGAAGAGACCAGGTCGGTCTGATCGATGAGGTGAGGTTGATGGAAGGAAAGGTGTTGGGTATGGTGTTTGTAATGGAGTGGAAGGGGCGCCAGCTTGAAGCTCGACGGGATGAGTTCAGCAGGCGACAGGGAACGCGAATGGCCGTGGCCACGCTAAAAGTAGCTGCCTCGCTTGATGCCTCAATATTTAGGCACAAAATCGGAAGATTGAGGCACTAAGTCCCGATGGATAACACTCACTGACTCTCGTAGCCTTGAATGGCTCAAACACAACTCTCACTGGAACCACGTCAAGACGTCACCTGCATTCCACCATCTCCGATCTCTCCATGAAAGGGGTCAGCCTGTCCCTGGAAACATAACAGTCTCACTGTCAAGCCACTACAAAGAGGTCGCAGCCACATAACCACAGTCAATCTTCAGAAGGCTGCCTCGAGTCGCCCGATTTGTACCCCGCCAGCTCAGCTCTCTACATGGTAAGGCTTTCTGTGACTGCCTTGCCAGCACCCCCCTATTTCCTTCTTCTGGGATACTATCTAGTTCTCCATTTCTGATCCCAAATCATTCTAACATTCAACAGAAAGGGAAAATCAATCCAGCAAAACAATCCATTCACTTCAACAACTCTTACATTGAGGAGTACGAATACTGAGTCCCACAAGACCCAAGACATATCCCCAGACCGCGATCCTCTAGCTTCTTTTGGATCTTGTCTGAATAGGAACTCACTTTCGAAACTGCCTCCCACCTCTGTCAAACCTGTACTTAAAGCTAGACTTCTTCGAACCCTGCCTACGTTCCAACATGGCATCCAACAGACTACGCAGGGTGGCCAAGGAGCTGGCAGACATTCAGAATGATACCCAGTCCAAGATTTTCTGCGAGGCTGCCGATGGAGACCTTTCACATCTACATGCATCCTTCCCAGGTCCTCCAGATACACCATATGAAGGTGGAACTTATGTCGTGGACATCAACATCCCCAACGAATACCCATTTCGACCCCCAGTCATGAAGTTCCAAACAAAGCTGTGGCACCCCAATGTTAGCAGTCAAACAGTATGCCTAACCTGGTCCTTTGAAAAGCATGTGAAGCTAAGAACAATTTAGGGTGCCATCTGTCTCGACACTCTAGGAACTGCTTGGTCACCAGTCCTCACAATCAAATCCGCCCTTCTATCCCTCCAGTCCCTCCTTAGTACACCCGAGCCCAAGGATCCACAAGATGCAGAGGTAGCGAGTATGCTCATGAAGAACCCAGAGCAGTTCCAGAAGGTCGCACGAGAGTGGGCAATCAAGCATGCTGCAGCACCAAAGTCAACACAATGGGAGGTTACCACAGCTTCGAAGCCAATTTCTTCCAAGCCGAGATCCCAGCAGGTTCTATCTCGAGAGGAGGAGGAGCGAATACTGATTGCCAGGTAAGATTTTCCTTTCGGATATCATGACATTCAGCTAACATGGACTAGATATCAAGGGTACAACAGAGATTTGATTGACAGATTTGTTGCCATGGGATTCGAATTGGATCGAGTAGTTGATGCGTTCAACTTTGTCAGTATCGACCGGAATAATGGAGAAGACTACGAGCTAGAGGAGGCGTACATGGGAGACATCACAGCCAGACTTCTGGGTGAACCTTGATGTGCTAAGAGGAATTTTGCTCTTGAGGCGCACACGACCGTAATGAAATCACTGGGAAGGCATGCATGGTTTGGAGTTAGGAGAATGCTGGTGATGACAGGCAGCATGGGGATTTGGTTGGCCGTGGCGTCTGGGAAGGACGTTTTAGGTCAGCATCTAGCGTAATCAATTCAGCGGCTTCCACAACGTCCTTATTCTATACCATAGGAAAAGAATAGTGCTTTAAAGAAAGGATTTCACGCTCATGGAGATTAGAAGATCCCTCTCACACTAGTCCTTTGACAGCTGCTTATTCTCGTCCGGATCCTACAAACCCCTAGTTTCATGACTGATGGGACAGGAAACTGAATCTCAATGTTGGGGACCAGCTATATTCTCCAAACAGCCAGCATATCTCTACCACCACTACGTACAGTTGAGCCTATCCCACCCCACAGCTCCATGCCGGACAAACATCTAAACTCTATGCTAGCGGAGTTGTGTTGTATGGGAGCTCTTGAGGTTTAAGAGAGTATGCTCGAGGAGTTCTTGGATTTGAGAGGGTGAGAAAGGGATGGGCATGGCGGAACTGAAAGCTGGCTGGTGTTAAGCACACTCAGAAATCACTGCCTGAGACGGACATTCTCGCCTAGTTTCTCACAATAGCAAGACTGATCTTGAAATCTTGAGAAAATTCATGGATATGACTAGATACTTGTGGACAATGCAAGAGTTTACTTGTGGTTCTTTATTTACTTCTGAAGCGAGGGGTGATGTCCAGTTCAGGCTGCAGAAACATCTACGCTGCAGCAGCCCGTCAACATTTGCAGAACTGCGAAACTGAGTTAAAGCCACCCCGAAGATATTCATGTCAGTACTTCATGACTTATCAGACATGGAGTCTCATCTTTGACGAGCTTTTGAGTGTTCTGGAAAGATTGCCTTAGACTGAAGACATTGTTTGTCCTCTT